TAGAAGAAACAGCAAACCATTTTAGCCTATGCACTGACAGGCACCCCGTGCATGATTTTAGACATTTTCCCCCAGATCTATATAGACAGGACTGCAAGGATAAGAGAACAGCACGGTGAGAAATATGTGCATAAACCTTATGACCTGTATTATTCATCCCCTTCTCTCTGCTCCCACTCTCCTGTCCCTGGCTCTTCAAACACGCGCCAATGCCTCATTAAAGACTCAAAACCATCCCATTAGGTCCAAATGCATGGAAACATATTCATGATTATTCAAATGATCCCCCCGTAATATAATCAGCACCGCCTTCATAAATATTCATTTTCGCTGTGCTAATCACTGTGTAATCTTACAAGAGGGAGTGCCTCTGTAATCCTCTTCCCTTTTGGCCTCCCCTCCCTCCTCCCTTTGTCTGATACTCTTTTCTCTACTCCTAAGCCTTCCTAGGTCTTCACGATCTCTTTCAGGGTAAAGATATTTCTGGTTCTGATCTAAAGCATTCTTTATTTATCTCTATCTGAAGATTATTCTACGAGAAGGTTATCCTCTTCTGAAAGGAGGGCTGACGAAGGCCCGACAGCTCTTGATTCTCAGGCATCAGTACATCCTTGATATTCCCTGTAATGGACAAGAGAGGTTCTCTTCACATTTATAAATGGGCGTCCCAGGCAGATCCTGCACTGGAGGACCACCCAGAAGAATAGCCCCTTACAGGTTATGTTCTGGGATACAGACAAAGCAAACAAGGCTCTGGAATAGGGCACGGAATGAAATAGGCAGAATAGAAGGCGAGGCAGAAGCTAGCAGTGGGGGAACACTGGGGGCAGGAGGAACCAGGGGGAGGCAGGAGATGAGAGAGGGAGTAACTCAGGGCTGAGTGTGGCATTTGGAATCTCTGTTGCAGCTATGTACCTGGATAGTTAGGCTGACGATCCTTTATCCTTATCCTGCTGTCTGCCTCTTGCCTAACTTGACCATCTGTCATTGACTGCAGCAACCATGTGTAAAATCAGGAAATAAACATGAATTCGAGCAAGGTGGAGCATGAAGAAGATTCCTATAAGAACGATGAGTCAGTGGAAGTTAATCCTTTAAATGAAGCCCCCCAAGGAGCTTGTTTCCTGTCACTAGGTCTTGGCACAGTGGCAAGGAAGAGCCCTAGTTCTCGCGAAGAAGTGCATATGCATGCATAAGCCCACAGAGAGCAGAACACAGGTGGGTCGCAGTGGGTCGCATGATCATCCTTTCTCAGTAGCCAGAATAGTGCCCACGATAGTCTATGTGTGCATTTGCTGGCAAGAAACTGTCTATACCATTTATATCCTTTGACGGAAAAACATACAAGAGAAGAGGAACGTTTTTATGGTAAAGGACTTTGGAAATTCTAGAATGGGGACAAAAATAACACAATTAAAGGAAAAAAGATAATAGCAGTTAACATAACCTCTAGGCCCAGATAAAAAGTGTAAGTATTCAATATTGTATGCTGCTCTCTAAGACACAGGGAAATCTCACCGTTGTCTTTAATTTTATATGAGAACCGTTTTACTGTTCAAGCTTTTTTAGGGTATAAGGAAAACCCACTGCTGCTTACAGTTTGAATAAGAATCATTTTTCTTTTCAAATGAGAAGCAAATTGCTCCTAAGTACCAAATATGTATAGGATGAAAATGAATGGAAAACAGCCTCTAAAGCAATACTTTCAGTAATTTCATTTGTCTTCTTAAAGGCATGAAAATAAGATGGCTTGTCAAAGAAAGCCTTCTGTTTCCCGAAAGGGAAACAGAGAACTCTACCACGATAGAAAGAGGATGCTGGTGACAAAAACCATTATCAATTTTTCACGGTTGATTTGTTAGTGGTTTCAGAGAGATAAATAATATTACTTTCTAATCCAAAGAGGTCTCATACCTGAGATTTGCAACATTATTTCTTAAATCAACATAGTTTTCTCTTCCTAGGAATCCTCAGAGAACCTGGAGTCCCTGATTGGGTTTAATGAGATTTACACAAAGGGAGTTGTCAGTAACCACAGAAACAGGGCAGGGGTTTCATAATGATTGTGCTTGAATTGTATTACAGTCTGAAAAGAGCCTTTTTAATTATAGGGTTTTGAGGCTGGGGGGAAAGGGGTTGCGGGGTGCAGGGGGTGGGAGGGGAGGTGGGGGTGGATGTAGTTTTTCATGGTAAGAGACTGAAAAGTCTTTTATCTATTTAAAAGGATGGCAGGTGGGCTCCACTAGCAAGTCTTAACCCCAGGACTCAGCTTAACCCTGGAGAAAATGTTTTTCCTTTTCAGCCCTCTGTATCTGCTGGTTCTTCACTTCTTTAAATCGCTAGCTCTTCAGATGGAGTTTAGCAGGCCTGGGGGTGGAGGAAGGTTCGGCTGAGGACAGCTCCAAGGGTTTGAAATCCCTCTGCAGAGCAGAGTTCCTGGAGATGCTACCGTAGTTCTGCGGGCGGCTTGGGCCCGGAATCAGCCGCTCCCAGGCAACGAGACCTGACCTGCTTTGAAGCTGATGTCACTCAAGCCTGAGACCCCATTTCCAGCTTAGCTGTGCAGGACTGGGGTTTTTGATGGTGTTATGTAATTTCAGCCCGTTTGAGTTTCCCTAGTTGATTTCTCACCTTAAATCTGAAGACATCAGTGGAACTCATTGTAGCAAGAAGCACAATCAGTTAATATGGCAGATGTGAGGTCTGGAACTAAATCTCAACACAAAAGGTCAGGGCCCAGAGGCCGTCTTCACAGGGGAGCCATGCTTGGAGGGCCAGCTTAGCATCCCTTTGGGTTCCTGTCTTCTCAGGATCTACCTCTCCTCCACCATTCTTTTTATTTTTTATTTATTTATTTTTTGAGGAAGATTAGCCCTGAGCTAACATCCACCGCCAATGTTATTTTAATGTTCTTACATTATTGAGAAAATGAATCATGTACCTAATCTGTGACCCAGCAATTCTGCTCCTGGTTATCCACCCAAGGAGAAGGAAAACATATCTACAAAAACTTGCACAATAGCCTTCTTCTTTTTTATTCGGTGAGGAAGATTGGCCCTGAGCTAACATCTGTGCCAATCTTCCTCTATTTTCTATGCGGGATGCCGCCACAGCGTGACTCGATGAGCAGTGTGTAAGTTCACGCCAGGGATCCGAACCAGTAAACCCCAGACCACTGAAGCAGAGCACATGAACTTAACCACTATGCCATGGGGCCGGCCCCACAATAACTTTCTTAACAGCTTTCTTTATAAGAATCAAAACCTAGACATAGCCCAAATGTCCATCACCAGTAGAATGGATAAACTATGTTGTATTTGTAAAATGGAATATTACTCAGCAACGAAAAGGAACAGACTATAGGGACACTCAACAATATGGTGGAATCTCAAAAACATTTTTACTGAGTGAAATAAACCTTACACAAAAGAGTACTCCCAGTTTGATTCTATTTATATGAAGTTTTAGAACAAGCAAAGCTAACTATGATGGAAAAACATCAAAACAGTGATTTTTCCCTGAGCGGGTGGAATTGACTGGAAAGTGACAGAAGGGAAGTTTCTAGGAGAATGGTAATATTGTATATCTTGGTGGAGACTTGGGTTACATGGGTGTGTAGATTTATCAAAAATCATCAAATGATACCCTTAAGATTTGTGCACTTCACTTTGCAACAACATGGATGGACCTTGAGGGTATTATGCTAAACAAAATGTCAGACAAAGGGGCCAGTCCGATGGCACAGCAGTTAAGTGTGGACATTCTGCTTCGGTGGCCCAGGGTTCGCCAGTTCGGGTCCTGGGTGCGGACATGGCACCCCTTGGCAAGCCATGTGGTGGTAGGCGTCCCACATATAAAGCAGAGGAATATGGGCATGGAGGTTAGCTCAGGGCCAGTCTTCCTCAGCAAAAAGAGGAGGATTGGCAGCAGATGTTAGCTCAGGGCTAATCTTCCTCAAAAAAAAAAAAGAAAAGACAAACACAAATATTGTATGACTTCACTCATATGTGGAAGATAAATAAATAAACACACAGATATGGAGAACAGATTGGTGGTTACCAGAGGGGTAGGGGATGGGGGGCAGGGCAAAAGGGGTAAAGGGTCACATATGTATGGCGACGGATGAAGACCAGATTTTGTTGGCAAACGTGATGCAGTCTATACAGAAATCAAAATATAATGATGTACACCTGAAACTTATATAATGTTATAAACCAAAGTGACCTCAATTGAAAAAAAAAAAAACCACACGTATACCAAGTGGTCAAAAAAAGATAAAAAAGATTTCTGCACTTCATTGCATGTAATTTTTAAGGTAAGGTAAATTACATACAAAAGCTTTTCAGTATCTTGACTGTGGTGTGGATACATGAACCTGCACAGGTATACAATTGCATAAAACTTAATGAACAGACACACTCACACAAATGAGTACAAGTTAAACTGAGGAAACCTGAGTAAGGTCAGTGGGTTGCATCAATGCCACTATCCTAATTGTGATCTTACACAACAGTGTTGCAAAATGTTATCATTAGGGGGAACTGGACAATGTGTGCAAAGATCTCTCGACATTATTTCTTACAACCGTGTATGAATCTATAATTATCTCAACAAAATTTTCAACTAAAAAAGATAATACACAAATAGTCTACTGAACCAGATGCATACTGAAATGTCTAGCGGTGAACTGTTCTTAGAAATACATCAAAAAAAGACGGATTGGGCCGGCCCAGTGGCGCAGTGGTTAAGTTCACACGTTCTGCTTCTCAGCCGCCCGGGGTTCACTGGCTCGGATCCTGGGTGCGGACATGGCACCGCTTGGCAAAAGCCATGCTGTGGTAGGCGTCCCACATGTAAAGTAGAGGAAGATGGGCACAGATGTTAGCTCAGGGCCAGTCTTCCTCAGCAAAAAGAGGAAGATTGGCAGTAGTTAGCTCAGGGCTAATCTTCCTCAAAAGAAAAAAAAAGACAGATTGAGGGATGATTGGAGAACTGTTTAGATGGACAGATGTGATAAAGCAAGTATAAAATGAAGACAGGTGGTGGGTGTCCACTGTACAATTCTTTCAACTTGTCTGTATGTTTAAAAATTTTTGTAATAAAATCTTGGGAGGAAAAAGTAGACAGTAGCTGGCTGTGGTACCGCTGCTCATCAATGCCAACAGGGACCCAGATGCTTTCTATTTTTGGCTCCTTCAATCCTAGCGAGTTGGCTTGTGCTCTCAAACTTTTCCGTCTCATGGTTGCAAGGTAGCTGCTGCTGCTGCAGACATCAGATCCCCGTTAGAGGGAGGGGAAAGGCAAAGGTGCCTCTGTCCCCCTCATCAGGAAAGGAAAAGCTTTCCCGGACAACTCCCAGCAGATTTCTCCTTACCTGTCGCTGCCCTGAACTGTGTAACGTGGCCAACCGTACCTGCAAGACAGGAGGGAAAGTGATGAATTAGCTGGGCACCTTGTCAACCCCCCGCAAACACACACACAAATTTGGTTTGTTAGCAAAGAGGGTGGGATGGACACTGAGCAGATCACACCTATTAATGGCCACACTGCCTGGTATCAGATGCTGCTGGCATTGTCAGAGGTATGCCCATTTCTGTGATTCTGGCATGAGCTGCTTCCTCTGAACTTCCATGTTAGCTGGGCAGTATAAAGACACTCCAAAACATATGTGATTCCAAAAGTGCGTGGCTGAAGAACTTACGTAGCTGTTTCACCCAATGTATCATATAATTTGGGGATCCCACTGGTGCCACGAGCCATATAGCTGAAAATGGAGTTTACTAATACCCCAGAAACGAGATGCCTTGAATTTCTTCTATTTTGAGATGACGTTTATACAGCACATTAAAAAACAATCAGGTCTAAATGTGCATTCTTTGTGTATGCAAATCTGAAATAATCTGAAAACTTCAAAGGTATTCCTCGGTAGGCTCAACACATCTGTGTGTGTCACCGGGTACAAACCCATGGGAATGACCTCGGGCCTGAGAGGCAGCAGCCGCTTCCAGGTCTGTGAGCTCAGGACCCGCAGGTGTTCTATTAACTTGGAGTAACACCCACCGCAAGGCTTGACGCTCCTCTGCCACAGCTCATCTGTGATTGGATGACATCCTTACATTTTTAGATCCAAAGTAAAACACACACCTTATAACAAGACAAAATCTTCATTCAATTTTTAACTATCACTAATGGGCACTCCCAAGAATTGTTTCTTAACGTCCTAAGGAAAGGAAATTACTACTTGACCAGCCCACTTGGACAGTCTCTTTCCTCACCCTCTATGACCTCACAGAGTCCTGGCCTTTTCTGTGGTGGGAGGGTCTCTTTCTCCTCCTTCCCTCATCCTGCCTTCTCCAGGCTCAAAACTCAAATTCAGTTTCCATCAAAGTCACTTATTGGTGACCTTGGGCAAGTATTTAACTTCTCTGGGCCTCAAATTCTGTATCTATGAGAAAGAAACAAGTGATGTCTGTACAGGATTCATGTGAAAAGTCAATGAGGGGCTGGCCTGGTGGCATAGTGGTTAAGTTCGCACACTATATTTTGTCTGCCTGGGGTTTGCAGGTTCGGATCCTGGGCGCAGACCTGCATGCTGCTCATCGAGCCATGCTGTGGTGGCATCCCACATACAAAATAGAGGAAAGTGGGGGACCAGCCCCATGGCTGACTGGTTAAGTTCGTGTGCCCCGCTTCATTGGCCGAGGGTTAGACTGGTTTGGATCCTGGGCGTGGACATGGCACTGCTCATTAGGCCATGCTGAGGCAGCGTCCCACATGCCACAACTAGAAGGACCCACAGTTAAAATATACAACAATGTACTGGGGGGATTTGGGGAAAAAAACAGAAAAAAAATTAAAAAATAAATAAAAAATAGAGGAAGATGGGCAGTGACAGTCTTCCTCAAGCGAAAAGAGGAAGATTGGCAACAGATGCTAGCTCAGGGCCAATATTCCTCACCAAAAAAAAAAAAAAAAAAGTCAATGAAATGAAGTCTTGGAAAGCAGCATGGCACAGAGCCTGGTATAGTCGTGCTTAATAGACATTAGCCTCTTCCCTCTATTACAATAGATGGCACTGTTCTTGCCATTTAAAATTAAAAAAAAAATCAGTGTTGCCCATTGTTTTAAAATAGAGCACATTAATAGAAAATTTGAGGTTTAGTAAGGCCAACAGATGAGGGCTGGTCAGGAGGCGGGGGGTGAGGGGTTGGGATGGGATGGACAGATGGACTGTGGGCAAGAGCCTCGATGGTGGTTTCTGTGGGAAGGAACCAGGCAAGGCAGGGTCAGCCAACTTGGAGTTAGCTAGTTTGCATAATGTCAGTGGGTTCAGGGGCGGAGTGGGTGTTCTTGGTTGTCTGCTACTTGCCCTGCGGTGACCAGGGCAGGTAGATAGTGACCCAGAGTGTGAGAGCCCAAGAAAGAAGGGGTAGGGAGCCTCTGGCATAGTTGGAGTGCATTTGAAAAGTGCACTCACTGGTGAGTTGTCCACTCTCACTAGGCATTGGCTAACCCTGGGAGGGACAGTCCAGGGTCAGCAAGGCTCCACATGTCAAAGCATCTGAATGCAGAAAATAAAAGACATGGCTAGTACACCAATGTTTAGAAATTGAGATATTTCATGGAAGAATTTGGACTTGTGACTTCTCTGTATGAAGTAGGAGGATCTTACAAAGCTGAGCCTGTGTCTGGGCATGGCCACAGCAGATGAGACCTGAGCTGCTGCCTCCCTAGGTGGAGCCTGAGAGCTCCACAATCCTCACCACTCCCTACTGCCTCAGCCTGCTTCACTCCTTTACATGCCTGGCTCCATAAGCTGTTTCTTTTCTTTTCTTTTCATTTTTTTTTTTGGTGAGGAAGATTGTCCCTGAGCTAACATCTGTGCCCATCTCCTCTATTTTGTATGTGGGACACCTGCCACAGCATGGCTTGATGAGTGGTGTATAGGTCTGTGCCAGGGATGCGAACCTGCAAACCTGGGGCTGCCCAAGCAGATCATGTGAACTTAACCACTACATCCCTGGCCCGGCCCGGGCCGACCCCTATTTTTATTTTTTGATTATAGTCATCCTCACGTGCATGAGGAGGTATCTCACTGTGGTTTTAATTTGCATTTCCCTAATGTAGAAATATGCATATTACTTCTTAAAACAACTGCATGAGGGGCTGGCCCACTGGTGTAGCAGTTAAATTGACGTGCTCTGCTTTGGCAGCCCAGAGTTTGCCAGTTTGGATCCCGGGTGCGGACCTATGCACCGCTCATCAAGCCCTGTTCTGGCAGGTGTCTCACTCATAAAGTAGAGGAAGATGAGCACAGATGTTAGCTCAGGGCCAGTCTTCCTCAGCAAAAAGAGGAAGATTGGTGGCAGATGTTAGCTCAGGGCTAATCTTCCTTAAAAAAAAACAATTCCATGAGATAGACGCTATTCCTGTTTTATAGGCAAAGAAGTGTAGGTTTACAGAGATCACGCTGCTCTTAAGTGGGGGTGTCTGATGTAATCCAAGGTGTGTTGGTCTAATTTCATCTCCGCTATGCTGATTCCCGTATGCTTTGTTAAGTAATAGGTACTTTGACTTTCACTAAACATTAATTAAAATTAAATATCGAACCTTGCAATGTGCCTGGAGTTCAGAGAAGTAATGCCTGCACTTAATCTATTGGAAACATTTTATAACCCAAAGCAGGTTCACTGTGTCGTTCTTGCCTTCTGTGAAAGTCAGAGTATTCCAGCCACAGACCGTGCTTTAGTGAATGAATCTAGGAAAAGTGACTGCCAATTTTCCTTTTAATGGAAGGAAATGGAATAGTGTAATGTCCCAGAAGTCTTCAACAAGACAAAGGACTTTGAAACACTGGTGTTTCCTCCGTTTTGGTGAGTACACAGCTAATAGCTTCATAGCTAGATCCTGTGGGGGTTTTTGACGAGTGACGACATTTCCTTGGGGTAAACACAGCAGGCCTTTGTTCTAGGCGGAGGAGTAGTCTCCATTCAAAAAAAATCTCCACTATGGATGCCCAAAATGCCACCTCACCAGCAGTAAGCAAATTAGTATAAAAGTCAAATGTGCAAATATTACAGAAGGGCACAAATGTCCTATGTCATTATGCTGAGGCTGTGGAGTATCCACAGGACGAACATAGCATCGTTTAGTCATTCCCATTTTTATAGAATTTTAGGTTATTTTTAGCTTTTTCAATTACAGACAATACATACCCTTAAAGACAGGTCTGCTTACTTGTGCTAATATATTTCTATGCTTGTCATAAATATTTTGTTAAGCTTTGCCTCCCTGTACATTCCTTTTAAACATGCTTTAGCCTGTATATCTTCAAATTCATTCCACAAGTATTTGCTGAGTACCTACTGTACAGCAGGTAGGCCCTGAGCTCAGGGAGGGGAATAATGGTGAGAAAATAAAAATAAAAAGGACTTTTCGCCAGCAGGAGGAAACAATTAATTGCAAAATAAATGTGATGTTATGATTGTGATAAGTATTGTGATAATAGGCGCTCTGACTTTCAGTAAACATGGATTAAATTAAATATTGACTATAGCAATATGACTGGGGTTCAGAAAAGGTCAGACTGCTTCTAATAAGCAGAGCCTCCTGTGCTGTGAAACATATGACAGGGGAGCTGACCTAGCCAGAGCTGAGGGAAAACTTCCCTGAAGAAGTTATGACTGAGCTGAGACACTCTGTGAATTGAATAAGTGAGAAAGCTGGGGGTCTATGGAAAGCTTTCCACGCAGAGGGAAGAGTTTGTGCAAAGGCCCTGTGGCAGAAGAAAACGCAGCATATTAAAGGAACAGAAAGCAACATGGCTGAGTATAGGAAGCTTTTTTCCTCATGTTTGATAAAGCTGGAGGGGAGGTCAAGGCCAAACCTTGCAGGGTCTTCCAGGTAACATTAAGGATTTTGGTCTTTATCCTAGGAGCAATAAGAAGACCCTAGAATTTGAAGCAAGAGGGTGGATTAGATTTGAATTTGTAATTGATTTCTTTGGATGTGGGCAAAGAACAGATTGGCAAGAGAGAAATGTGGATGATGGGGGACTAACCAATGGAGAAGAAAGATGGTGGCTTGGTCCAGGGTGGTGGCAGTGGAAAGAAATGGACTGATTCCAGTGACAACTTCGCTGGGGTCTTGGGGAGGGAAGGAATTTAGCTGTCCCACAATCTCCATCCATCCTGCTATAGGAGATGCTGTTGATGTCCCGTCCATAACCCTTCAGCCCACCCTGGAGATCACCCACTCTGAGAGAGAGTTGCCCTACACACTGATGGCTTCTTGCCTCAGGCACCTGTGCCTTCCTGCCTGAGGACTTTCCTCGGCAGCAGGTTGTACTTGGCCAGCATGCACACACTTGGAAATGCTGGGGAGTTACAGCCCCCAGGAGCAACCTTGAGTCAATACCTACAGGAGTTGGTGGATATATACCCCAGCTTCTTCTCCTTTCAGTGGGAGAGTTCTAAGGAGTGTCCTATACCGTGTCTCAGAGGGTATGCAACAAGATCACACTCCAGTAGCCTAAAGGGAGGACCCACTATTAACACACGCTGTGTGCTTCTTTGCCTTCCCTGTCTCACTTCCCCGTTAACTCACAGCGCTTCCTGGAATCACCTCCCAAATGGACCACTAGTACCTGGGAGAATTCGAAACTAAGACACCTCCCTATAAGCCACTCAAATAAATATAAACCTAAGCAAATATAATGCTTGTTATGCAAAGATGGCTCAAAACTAGCTTTCCCTTTGCTTTTCATCCTATACAGAATTTCTGGAGTTGCCAATGTTAGGATCTGCTGATAGCTCGCATGGGGGGCGGGATGGGAGGTTGAGGGAGAGGGAGGAAGCAAAGACAATTATCTAGTATTTAGACTTGCAAACTGGAAAAATAGTGGTGTGGTGCCATCCACGGAGTTAGGGAAGGCTGAAGGAGGGTCTGGTTTAGGGTCAAGATCATGAGTGTGCTTTATTCCTTGTAGAACCCGGCAGTGCACCTCTCTCCCATCACAGAGTGTTGATTGCTTGGTTAAGCTATAACCATGACTGGCTACATAATTTGTGGGGCCCAGTGCCAAATGAAAATGCAGGACCCTTGTTCCAAAATGATTAGTTTCAAGATGGCAGCCACAGAGCATTAAACCAAGCACGAGACACTTCTGAGCTCCGGGGCCCCGTGCAACTGCACAGGTCACGCACCCGTGAAACCAGCCCTGCCTCTGGCTCTGGGAGGACAACAAGAAAGAGGA